AGACCATGTTATTGCAGGAAAAAACTTCAATGCACAGCCCAAGTATTCCCTGAATTTTCAAGAACACCCACGAATTTTGTAAAAATAGATGATAATTTATTTATTTGATTTCATTATGAGCCTAGCTTGTGATTTTGGGGTGGGGGTGGGGCTGGAGTTAGTGATGCTGAAAAATCAATTTAGAGAAAAGCCCAGGAGAGTCATTGGCTCTGGGGAGCAGGGGAGATGCTCAGGCTCTTCCTCACGAAACGCAGAACATTGCAGAACCCACCAAGGGCTCTGAGACTTCTCGGGTGAGGAGACCCCCACTGGGGTGACAGTTTCTCCCTGGAGGGGCTTTGGCTCTGCAGTCCATGGGAGAGACTGGTGTCCCACAGCCATGGCCAGTGTGTGTTGGAGGGACTGGCTCATCTCATCCTGCTCACACACTCGGTTTGCCCAAGCGTAGATCTGTCTAGGGGAGCATCAGCTGCACCTCGGTGGGTCATCCTTCCCATCCCCATTGGGCTGTGCTACTGGGTGACCCCCAGCACCAGTGAACGTGGCTATGGGACTTGTTCTTGTCCCTTAGGTGAGGGTCCAGATGGGCTTGGAGGCTGCTGTGTGCTCCGCCTCTGAGGTACATCACAAAACCAAACATCTTTGCTGTTTTAGCCGCATAGAAAAAAACCTTCCATATTATCAGAGTTCACCACCACGTTCACTTCGAGCCTTTGAGCTATTTTCTCCTCCTTCCTCCCTTCCAGTGCGTGCTTCTCCTCTTCAGCTGACAGCCTGGGACAGTCCCCCGAGATCAGCTGCTCGTGGAGCTCTCTCTGCCGAAAGCAGTCCTAAACGGTGTGGCCTTTGTTCCCCCCCAGCTGTCGTATCCTCCGGGATCTGCAACAAGTCCTCATTTTACAGACCCCATCTTGACAGTCCCCAATCTGATCTGACCACCTGGTTTGTTTTTGAATCGAGCACTTGAGTCATAACATTTCTGTTTATTTCAACAACTGTATTCCTTGCATAGGAAATGAGCCAAGATGGTCTAAGGCGGGGAGAGCGAAGCATGTCGTGGTTGTAATTGCTTTTGCTCTCCCAATATAAAATTTTACAGTATAATCAAAATCTTATTTTTGTACCACTGGACTCTGTTATTGACTTAATCTTCTTAAGTGCTCCTATTATTCCAGTGATTTCATCGTTGCATGTTGATTTTAATCTTTTGATCTCCATATTAGCTACTGCCTGCAACTAATTTGTTGCTCAGTGTTTTTCTTTGTTTTGACCTGTGAGGCATTTTCCTCATGGCACACAACTCTGCTGGCAGATTGCATATAATCTCTGCACTTTTTTTCTCCCATATTTTGCATAGTTACAACAAATGCAGATTTACAACTTGAAATGGAATATGCATCTTTTAGAAAAGCTGAGGAAAATATCACTTCAGGTTTAGCTCAAGAGCCTAAACGTGCTTGAATAAAGGAAATAGGGCTGAATACAGCTCACCGGAGAGGTGTCACGCAGGCTTTTGAGTCCAGCAAGTTCAGATTGGGTGGCAAGTGCAATAATTGTAACTGATATTATATGCAGTCAGGGATCAAGGTTTCTGAAAGCATTGCTAGACCCGAGATGAAGAAGGCTGGTTTTTGTGAGTGGCTGAAGAGACTCGCCTAGCTGAACTCGGCTTGATGCAGTGGTGGATCATGACAGCACAGAGCAGGTTTTTGAACAAACATTGGTGATGGTTGCAGTACTGCAGGGTTGTGAACTTCACAAAGTGCAGAGGCTGGAATCTGGCTCAGCTGTGATTTGGTTGGCCATTAGATGGGTGCTTTTTCCCTTGGTAGTCGATGGTTTAACCTTTGCTGATTTATTTGGTGCTTTGTTTGCTTTAGCTTTTTCTTTTAAAGCTTAGAGAAGTGGTTTTTGCCTTAGGTTTGCTGTGACTTTTTTAAAAAGAACTGACAAAAATCATCTTTGGTTTGCTGCGTGCCTGTTTGTTCTTCTGAACACAAATTGTCTTCTAATATTTTTGACGTTTTGGTCACTAGAGAGGCAGAAAAGCAATTTCTAAGATGCCTATGGGCCAGGAGACATGCATTACAGCAGAGGGGAAAGAATCTGTTAGTTGCTGAAATATAAAACAAATTGGATGAACAGCTGCTGACACTTGTCAGTCAAATAGTTGATAGCATTTTCAGTCTCCATGCCACATGCTTTAAGTAAGTCTGTCAAAAAAAGGATATTTTCGCTGGACTTCCCTGTAAATATGAGAGAAGTTTTGGCCTGATCTATCTTTTAAAATTTTGCTGGCAGAAGAATGAAATTTTCCTCTTTCCCCAAAACTGATTGACATAACTGTACTGGCAGATTCTTCATCTAGGTGCAGTTGTACTGGCACGAAGTCCTTTGACTGTTGGAGCTCGTTCCATTGCAGCAATGGGTTGAAGCGAAACCAGCAGCAGACCTTTGCGTTCCTTGGCTGGGTTTGCCAGAGTGCTCCCACCCATCAGCAAACCCTTTTCGATGCTGGTCGAGGTGTAGCTTTGCTCTGCAGGAGCCTGAGTCCTGCCCAAAGCGTAGTCTGTGGCCTGGAGGGCTTTAAACCCAGATTTATGTTTTTCAGACAAAACCAACCATTTGGGATTGAACATTTCTGCAGGGTTAATCCAAGGCAGCACTTCTCGCTCCTGGTACCATGGTGCAGCACCCATACAGGACAGGGTCGGGCTGCCAGCACCCAGGTAACCATTTGCAGGGTTAAAGGCAGTTGGGGTCGGGGTATGACACGCTCCTTTGCTCAGCCACAGGCTGCAGGCTCTGCAGTGGGCGGTTAAATCCTAGTTTGTAGCATTGCTCGTACATGAGCTCTTCTCCCTGCTCACACTGAAGTATGTAACTTGAATCGTCATTTGAGTCCAAACTCCTTAAAAGAAGTTAGCTGGCTACTGCTTGTTTTGAATGTGTGGTCAAGCCTGACATATCCTCAGGGTTGTTGCGGAGTCTCTGAGGTGCTCTATTGGGGTTTAAGGACACATGAAAAGCTGTCACAGGCTCCAGGGTCATTGCTAATGCCAGAGAAGCTCAGACACGGTGCCCATCGCTGCCGTTTCAGGGAGGCACCTATGTGCGTTAGTGATGCACAGCCAAGGATCGTCTCCTGAAGGCTGCGCCCACACTCTTT